CACTGGAATTCAGACAGTTTGTTTGCATCGCTGTGCTGAGTCGGTGCCGTCTGTCACTTTGTTGTTGTTCATGTTATGTTTTAGAAATAAAACTGAAAACCGAAGATTTTCTCTCTGCTACAGTTTTAAAGTGTCTCAGCAGTGGTGGAAGAAGTACTCATTGTTTACTTTAGTAAGAGTAGAAATAGCTCAGTGTTCAAGTACTGATACAAGTATAGGTCCTGCGTTCAAAATGTGCAGAAGTAAATGTACAAAAGTATCAGCATCCAAATCGACCTGAAGTACCAACAGTACCAGTACTCGTCCTGCAGAACAGCCCGTGTCCCAGTAATGTCTCTGATACTACTAGATCATCATGACTGATGCGTTACTGTGTTCATCACTTTAATGCTGCAGCTGGTAAAGGTGGAGCTGATGGTAACTACCTTATATACTTATACTGTGAAGTACATTACATCCAGCTGATGGTAACTACCTTATATACTTTTACTGTGAAGTACATTACATCCTGTTGGGTAGCTGGTGGATTTCCTACCGGGATCAATAGAGTCTGATGATTCTACTGGATTTGATTAATCTGATTCTGAAGTTATCAGGTACATGTAGTGCAGTAAAAAGTACACGGTCTGTCTCTGGCATGGAGTGAAGTCACAGTATGAAGTAGCAGGACATGGAAGTACTCTGGTAAAGTACAGGTACCTTAGAATCATTGAGCACAGAACTAGAGGCAGTGTTCTTACGTGGCACCTCTGCTTCACGATCCTTTCACCTAAACCCTATTGAAGCTGATCGACCAGCATTGCAGCCATCAGGGTGTGACAGACGAGCTCCGCATTCTCGCTGCTGCTGAGCTCGGACTCTCAAAGCCTCTGCTCTGGACCAGTAACCAGCCACACAGTGTCTCAGCTGGAGCTTGTGACGCCGCTGCATGTCGTCTGCATGTTGAGTGTCTTGTCTGCTGCTGTCTGCTCCTTCACTGTCACTGCGCTAACATCTTGCTGGTTCATTTAGATGTAAGACAGACACGTCTGGTTCTGTGGCTCAGACTGGCCCCAGTGGACAGAAACCACACTCTCTGTTCAACCCCAGTTACATCTGCTGGTGTGAGCTTTGTGTTGGTCTGTGTTTATACAGGTGCCAATTAAATGCTCCAGACCCACAGTGTGTTCATAAAGGTTAAATCGAGTGGAGTAAGCTTATTGTTCCACACTGGCTTCTGTTTTACCACCAAACTTAGATTTCAGTTTTTATCTACTCTGCAGTTCAACATATTGTATGTACGGTAGTTTTACAGTTTTAAACCCCTCAGGATTCATCTGTTTATTGCCTGAGACAAAGACGACAGTCACATATAGAAATATCTGATCAATGAAAATGTCAAATTGTTTGACTGTCGGCTGTCGACTCGGTGCCGAAGCACTATTTTTGTTTATGTCTGTTATTCCATCTTGTTCGCTGTAGTCAGCCAAGCCACAGCTCCTGTCGTTAGAGGGTTAAGGTCAGATCAGCCTCGTTAGTCCTGTTCTGTGGGATCTTTTTAAAATCACTTGCTTTAATGTCGTTACTCTTTAATCGTTTTCAGCTGTGAATCTGTTTTCACTCGGCTTCCAGCGCTGTTAGCCAGTTAGCCACCGACATCAGACTCCCTCATCTCTCCTTCTTCCTCCTTTTTTATTCCATCACCCCTCCTCCTCCTCTTCCTCAGCAGTCTCTCAATGACAAGCGTAAAAAGAACCTCTTTTCCCGAAAGTTTCCGTTCTACAAGAGCAAAGAGCCGAGCGAGCAGGAGACCAGCGATGTTGACCGTAAGTACCAGCGTGGCGGGGGAGGCGGGGTGGGCGCTCTGTCTGAGAGATGATTGGTCGGTGACAGGAAGAGAGGTCAGCTGGCGGTGGCATGCTGTGAACACACTGGTTGTCATGGCAGCAGGGCAGGGCTGAAACAGGACCTGTAGTGAATTGGCTCAGACAGGTGGAGGTTGGAACACCCCTGGGTGCGGACACCAGGAATTTCTGCAGGTCCCTGAAAATGTCCATTTCAGTCTAGTTTGGATGTGACTCTGGTGTCAAACTGGATTCAGGCTAGATGAGGCCTTAACGGATGCAGCCAGGGATCATGCACATCGTTATTCTGCACAAATCCACCCAGAGACCAGACAGTGAAGGTGGTGTAGTGTGTGTGTGTGTGTGTGTGTGTGTGTGTGTGTGAACGCACAAACTCACCGGCTGCATCAGTTGAACTTGGCGAAACCTGCAGAAATCCCTGTTGCTGAGAACCCCCCAGCTGGGACGGCAGAACGTTAGGCCACCCCCACACACACACCCAGTGGGTGTAAAATGGCCGCCCTGCAGCCCTGCTGACCAGCTGCGTTCCCGCTCCTCTCTGTCTGTCACCGAAACCCAGTAACTTTGTGTTTTTGTGGTTGTTTTCTCCTTATTGTTCACTCGACTCTGCTGACCTCAGGACAACGGCGACGACATGCTATCCAAACGCCAAAGTAAGTGTCCCACGCCTCACCCCCACTCCCCACAGAAACTCCCATCATCCTCCTGGCCTCCACCAGGACCCGCTGTCAGCCACAGCCAGCGGAGGCTGTTGCAGATCACAGGAGAAAGAAAAGCGCGAGCTTTTAGTCATTATAATTAGATATGAAGTTTAACTTAGATTTTAAATGCATCTTATAATTTAAAAATAACACTCATAAAACTGGACCTGTTGCTTCCGTGTCCTGTTCAGCTGCTGTTGTGGAAAACAACCTGGTGTGTTACTGTGATGCCGCTGTGTCCTGCGCTGGCTGATTTCACAGTATTGGCTGAGAACAACAGTTAAAACCAAAACAAACAGCTGCGTCTGTGGCGTCAGGGCAGAAAACAGTAGACTGACGGTTTGTCATCGTCCGACATCAGGATACCTCATTGAGCGTCATCACTTTCAGAGAGTTACGGTGAAAACTGATGAGAAGCTGAAGCTGGTTCCTGGTGGACATGGCCTCAGACCTTCCTCTCCTTTACCTCCATCATCCTCAGTGAGCCCTGTACTGTAACACATGGCGGATGCTGTTGCCCCGTCTGCTGCCTTCCTGCACAAACCACTGAACCTCAGTCAAATTTGAATTTGGGCTCTAGGAGATAATTTACAGGTTGTTGTGTTAAGTGTAATCTTTACAAAAGTGTGTCACTGGCTCAGATCTTCAGCATTTAATAACAAATGTGAAAATATCTTCTTGGTTTGGTCTGAGCCTGATTCCCCTGTTTTATTTTGTGGCGATGATTTCAGGCTTTTTGTTGTGCAACCTGAATGAAGTTTGTTGGTCCAGCTACATGTTTAGCAGGACACATCTACACAGTATGTTATTATGCATTATAGTTCAGAAACACTGAGTAACTTTAAGCTTGAGTTTCAGTGAATTCTGTCCAAGGAGAAGTGGTCTACGCTGCTTCTGTGAGCTGCACCAGTAGAATTGACTGGGGCGGTTGGTACTGTTAATATTGAAAGGGTTATGACACAGTATGTCTCCTTTTCCCTGCCATTTGGTGTCCATATGCAGGAAGAGCTCCGACACATTCAGTGTGAGGAGCTAGAGGAGCAGAGATCAGCGACTCTGGCTTCCCTCAGACTCTGTGCACAGTGATGCCGTTCTGAGCCTGTGGACAACTTGACGGAAACAGACTCCCATGTTTCCTGAGGGGGAAACCAGTGGTGTGGCTCACTGGGGGGGTTAATAGCGGGTGGACAACAGTGGAGGTCTACAGATCGATAAACTGGACTCACATTACAGTGAGGACACCACGTTCACTGGTGCTGCTGGTCTCTGGACGGGAGACAGATGATCTGTGATCTGCTGCTGTTGGGCTTGAACACCTCGAGCCCTGTGTTTCATCATGGCTCAGGTCAAAGCATTATGGGAAAGCAATGCTCTCGGCTGACCCGGTGTGTCCTGTGTTTTGTTGTGATTGCAGAACATGTGACCTCTAATGCCAGCGATAGTGAGAGTAGCTACCGTAAGTGTGCCGTCGATGCTGCCTGCTTCACAGGAAACACCAGTGTGGCCCTGCTAACCGCTAACTCACTGATCATGTTAATGAGCACTAGCTGTTGATTGGCCAGTAACAGCATGACCTCACACACACACACACACACACACACACACACACACACAGCGAATGCTCCTGAACACTGCCAGACTTTCTGCATGGATTGAACTACTCAGATCTTTTACTGAAGTAAAAATAGAAATACCACAGTGTAAAAAAAGAGTGTCGTACAAGTACAAAAGTATTAGCATCACAATACGTGTATTTCTGAGCCTAGGATGCTGAGCTCCAGACTCCTGTGTTAATATTGTCTGGCTTGTCCTCTGACCAGCGTTATTTATGGTATGAAACCACGCCTGCAGCAGAAACAGCGGCTTTACCTGGTTTCGCTTCACAACTGACCAGCGTTATTTATGGTATGAAACTACGCCTGCAGCAGAAACATAGCGGCTTTACCTGGTTTCGCTTCACATCTTAGCTGGTGAAAGAAGCCGGTTTACATGAGATTAGGGGTAAGTTGT